TTGCTAATATGATGCTGCAATTTGCGAAAAGCACCTTTATAGAATCAAAAGGAATTTTTTTTTGCATTTATTTTTATTGCTACCTTTCTGTTTGTTTCTTTCCTTTAATTTGAAGTTTGTGAGACTGTTGCATTGGGGCCAGAAATTAAGGTAAAAACAGGTAGTGCCAGTTAGGGGCTTGCGAAAGGCAGTGGGCACAGCCCCCTGCAGCTGACCACTAACGTCCCGAGAGCGCCGGTGATGCCTCCCACGCACACTCAATGTATACATGGAGTTGTCGCTGGAAGCTCCTACCCCATCTCCCCGCCCTTGGCCGAGCGCGGCGGGGCGCCGGAGAGGGGGGCGAGCGGGGGCGAGCAGATTGCGGCCGGCGCACGCCGCTAGTTTGCATTTCTATGGAGGGTGCACAATAGCAGAGGTCTGGCGTGTGGCGGTTTGCAGTAGGGACAATCGAGGCTTTCTCTTCATAGCAGCACTGTCCACCTGCTGCCGGGTGGGGTGGGCAGGCCCCCGCCGCGCGTGGGGGTCGCCGGGCTGCCCGGCGCGTGGGGTCGAAGCTGCGTGCCACTCCGTGGTCCCTGAGTGCGCGCCCCCTGTATTGGCCCTGCTACATGTAATTCCCTTCCACCCGTTTCTCGCACGGGTGCCCAGCAGCCGCGCGAGTTGGGAGGGACTGGGAGCTGGTGCGCGGTCTACACGCCTGGACGCCCTCTGGCCGGGACCCCGCGGACAGAATCGCTTTCCCGGGGCGCCATCTACAGGCAAGCTCAAAAGATCCTAAAATGCCTTTTCTCCTCCCTTCTCCCAACACACACACCCTTCCATTGGCCTAGCGCGGGGGGAAGAGCGGTGGGGGGGGAGGGGCGGCCACGGATCTGCCCGGCCAGGCCCACTGAGCCCTGTCCAACATTAGTAGGAACCCGAGTAAGGGCTGCAAAACGCATCCAAAGTGGCGCTGCAGTAACTGTGGGGAGTAGAGGGCGAAAGGAGATTCCCATCCAGTGCTGATGGAGTAAGAGCCTGTTTGTCTTACGCTGTGTTGAAATATTTTAATTACTTAAATACGCATATGTAAAAAGGATTTTTTTCCGGCAGTGGAGTAAGTCTGGAAGAAATCTTGGGAGTTTAACAGGCTAGAGGTTGCTGTCGCTTAACCATACACGCTGGCATTTTCAGAGGGTTCACCCACTGAGCGCAGCACTTTTGCTGTCTGTACCTTTCTGAGCTACGTGGATGGGCGTTCCAGGGGTCGCCTCATTGCTCCCCTTTTTGGGGTGAGGCCTGGGAAACTGGCTGGGAGAGCGGCGGGCTGGGTGGATTCGATGGAAACCCTGGCCCTGCAGCAAGACTGGGGCGATAATGGAAAAGTAAACAACGGCTAGGCTTTGTTCCTTTTATTCAGGCTTTCTTCAGGTGGGTGGTGAAGGTACAAGGTACTTCTGAACTTGTGGGGAAGTTTTCATTCTGCGCTTGCGGGCAGGCACTTTTGCCAAAGTGAGAAGCTGGCTTCTTGCGCCTCCCAGCGGCTTCCCGGCGGAGGAGAGCTGCAAAGCCCCTCGCTTCCAGGATTTTAAGGAAGAGCTTGCTGCAGCATTTCTGAACTCCAGAGGGTGTCTCGTAAGGACGGGGAGTGGAAGGGGAGTGAGGGGGAGCGGGGCCAGGCGGCATTTTGCCCCGTTTGTTCGCTAGTTTCTTTTCTTTCTTTCTTGGTGTATAAAATGATTATATGCCTTGATTGGATAAAATATGTTAATTTTAAGTGATTAGAATACAAGTATTACTCTTAAAACTATTAAACATAGTTTAATATGTACCTATGTTACCAGGAAAATGGGAAGATTCTTAAATGTATTAGTTCCAGGTCCACAGGCAATGCTGGAAATAAGATTTACTTAACATGCTGGCATCCCACCCCTCCAATTCATAACACTAGAACTCTGCCCACATGCCAGGCAAGGGAAAACAAGGGCTAGACCTGAAGCCTCAGCCCCTCCTCCCAGAGGAAAGCCACTACTGGATGCTCCTGGCTTTGGGTTGGGGGCGGGTGCATTTCCCGTCCCTCCTGAGCCAGCCTGGATCAGGAGGGATGATTGACAACCCCTGGGGCTGTTCTACTCTGCTCACATTTTTAAGGTATTCAATTTCAGGAAACTGCCTTTTTGACATATGATACAGCCACGCTTTGCTTTATTAGGTCAGTCCCAATGGCCCCAAAGTCCCCATCTCAATTAGAGAAGAGCCATTTTGTCTGCAGGCAAAGTTGGCCTTCCAGCAGACCCACCACAAGCACCCTTCAGTTCAGACACATGCTGAAGCTTCTGGGCCTGGGATGCCCCCATGGTGGGGAGCAGGCAACGCCGACTAGAAGTTTGATGATGCAGACTGTCCCACTACACGGCTTTGTGGCCACAGCTCTCCCAAACTGCATGCAGCAAGGAACTTGGCCTGCTCTGTGCTTCAAGTCACAGGCGGCTGAGATGTCCTGAGCTTCCTGTGAGTGCACCCCTAAACCTTTCCCTAAGCCTCTATAATGCAGGTGATGGTGACTTACTTAAAGGGAAATCCTCAGAGGTGCTCTGTTTTGAAACCTTTTTGGAAATGTTTATAGTTGAACTATGTTTATTAAAACATTCTCTGAAACGTGCATGTCAGTCTTTCATGGCTTAACTAGGTCATTGATGGGCTGATACCTTTCGTTAGGGTACAGAAGGAGGGTGAGCTTTAAGTAAGCAGTAAGCTTTATGAGACAGCTCTTACTGTATCTTCACAAGTGACTTAAGTGTGGAGAGTGCACAACATTGTCATTCACTAGCAGGTGTATGCCCTTATCCTACCCGAGCAATGTGCCAGAAGCCACCACAATTCCGCCAGAGGCTGTGGGCTGCAAGCTAGCCACACACGAGCCCCATGCAGACTGCAGGTAGGATCTCTTTGACCTATGAGATATCTTAGGCAAAGTCAAATTCACTGCCACCTTTCCAAGTTAGCTGCATTCATACAAACACGTGGATTTCTAGCTTCTGTTGGAAGATGGGAAGATTCGGCCATCACGTGCCTAGAGTCCCCTCCCCGCCTTGGTAACCTTCAGCAGGGGTCAGGGGCACTGGGATCTCGCATTGGACACCGCTCTCCCTTTCACCACAGTCCCCACCACAGGCCAGCTGAGGACACCTGGCTGCTTTGTTCATTTGCATCACCTTCCTGTAGCCTGCAGACATTTGCGCTTGCAATCAAGCAACTGAACTTGGAAGCACAGAATAAAGGGGCCAAGTTCCTAAAGATGAAGCCAAAAACGTTAAGCGCCATTTGTGTCTCAGCTTGTGCAGGACAGTGTCCTATGTCAGCAGCAGGCTCTTGGAGCACTCTGGGCTGGCCCCTTTCCAAACAGTCTCATGTTGCCCTCACTGTTGCCCTTATCCAGCCCCTTCTCCGGCCAGAACAAGTCTCCTCGGGGTCCTGTGTTGGGTTTTCTTTGGTCCAAAAAACTCTTGAATGATAGGGGGCAGCAATAAGTCAGTGTCAATCATTAACACAAAAAAGAAACCAAGTTTTCATGCAGGCACATAAAAACTATTACTTAAAACCCAGCAGGGGCATCTCAGATGCCTTCCAGTATCTGAAGGACACCATTGCGTTGGCCCTCATCACCACCGTGCCTTCCTCCTTACCCAGGGTGAAGCGTGGATCTGCACACAGGGACGCTTCAGATGACAACTGAAACAAGGAACAGGAAGCTGAGAAAGGAAGACACCTCCCACACACACCTAGCAAAAGCTGGACGTTTCTGGTCATTCATCCTATGGGAAGACTTTCTGGAAGGGGCAATTATTCTTGGGTGAGCATTTCCATAACATGAGAGAGGTTAACATTAGCCCAGGGAAGTCCTTCAAAGTAATTAGGGGGGAAGGATACATTATTTATGCATTTGTTCCTTTCGCCATCAACAGTAAGAAATGATTCATGGCATCCGTCACAGTCCTAGGTAGTGACAGTCACCAGCCCACACTGTAGCTGAAAACCCCTGAGAAGCCACAGATGTGCAGTCTTCCCAGCTTGACTGAGCACCCAAGTCTTCTGAACTTAGGTTTCCCAACCTAGGAAATAAAATAGTGCCCTTTACCCCTCATGAACCTCAACGGGGTCTTAGAAGGTTGCTCCTGGTCAACCATTTGGCCCACAGATGGGCTTAGTTTGGTGGACAGTGTCCCGAGAGACTTAGAAATTCAGGTCTGACTTGCTCATTCATGTAGGGGAGAGTTGATGGCACACATCCTCTCTGTCACCATACGCAAGTCCCAAATGTCACATTAGGCCCTGCTGGCACGTGTATGCCTTGCCTGACGTTTGCAGACACTTGGGTTGGCAGTAAACTTGCTTTTCTAACAGATTTCTGAAAACGTTAACATGTAGATATAATAGAGTAACAGAACCATAGAACTTCCAAAGTAAAGCTTTCCTTCTTTTATATTCCAGAAGCTGAAAGGTATTAACAACCTCCAGAAGGCACTATGACATTGGAGTCTGGACTATGTGGAGCAGGACTCAAAGCTGGGCTTAGCTGCTTATTGACTTTGACCTTGAGCAAAAAGTTAGCAGATGATTTAAAGTATAAGGTAAAAGGAATTCATGCTTGTTAACCCATTAAACGCTCGTTAGTTACGCTCTCTTTTAAAAAGCCATTCAAAAATGTATATGACAAGCAAATATTTATTGCAGTGTTTCTTAAAATAATGAAAAATTAGAAACCATTATAAGGGGCTACTGCTAAATCATGGTGTACTCATAAATGAAACGTTGTGCGTCCATAAAAAGGGGTTCTGAGGAGTGGTTCCTGGCACGATGTAATATGAAAAAAGCAAAATACGAAATTGTGCGATTCTAATGTTGCAGAAACTTTCAGCCTACACGACTATCGCTGAATAAAATCACAAAGTAGAAAATGGTGATTATATCTTGGAGTGATGAGATTGTAGGTGATTTTTAATTTTCTTTACTAAGGTTTTCTGCAGTTAAACATTCTGCAGTTCAATCTCATTTAATACAAATATCTAGAACTTCTCAAATGGAGTGACTTCAGCATTTGACGTCCTCGGCCTGATTGCTGTGGAGGTTATTGTGCGGAGTGACCTTTGACCATACGGCCACAGATCCAGAAGCCAGACGTCTGCGGGGCTTTGCTCCTGAGAGGGAGCTCCCAGACTGTGACCTTTGATTCCTGCACGCCTCCTCTTGCCATCTGATGCCGGTCTGCTCCTGTGACTAAGTGAAAATCGTCATAACTGCGCTCGGGGGTTAACTCTGGCCCGACTGGGAGGGAACGTGCCGGCAGCATGCTGGAGGCAGGGAAGAAGGCCAGCAGCCTTGTCAGGAACAAACACCCCGGACGGCACCTTTCCATAGACATGCGGTTCCCCGGGACCCGTGGGGAGTCCTCTGCACATGCCAGGACCAGCAGCAATGGAAGGAATTATCTTTCACTCCCTTCTTGGTGAAAATGTCTATTTTCCAGAAATGAATTACAGCAATAAATTATGGAAATTGTTTCCATCGTCTACAAAACACAGCCAGGAATTCTAAAATTTGTAAACCTGTCATGTACCCAACCTGTGTTTGAGACGCTAAGGTACAATTTAATTTCTCAGTGTTTGGATTTTGTCTGTTTGAGAAGGGTGGGACCCTCCTTGAGTACACTATTGTTAGTAGTATTGTTATCATTTTATTTACCAGATTTTTCCAGGACTTGCTGTGCACCAGGCATTGTTCCAAGCACTTTGAAAATATCATCTAATTCTCATAACAAACTCATTATGTAGGTGTTCTTATCACCATTTTAGGCATGAGGAATCTTGGGCACAGAGAGGTTGAACAACTTGCTCAAGGTCACACAGCCAGGAGGTGTCAAAGCTGGGTGTTCGGAACTCCTCTCAGAAGCAAGAGTAAACAGATGAACTTCACTGTGAAACCTTTTCTTAAGCCTTTAGAACAAACCATTTGCCCACCAAGGACAAGACGAGCATCCAGGTGAAAAGGAGGTTTCAAAACCATTTTTGGTTCTGCTTAGGAACCCTGATTCCTGCAGTGCCTGTCCTGATAGCATGGTTGCAGGGTGACATCTTGTGGTCAAAAAGAATATTGCTTCCAACCCTAAAAAGCATCTACACTCCAGCTGGTCTAAACCCCTACAGGCCTGCAAGCACTGCCCCTTGGGCGTGTTTCTGGCGAGCCCATGGGCTCTCATCACACATTAAGGTTAACATCCAGAAGCAACAGACCGTGGTGGCAGTGGGCTTGGACCCCACCGTGCCACTGCTGGGCAGCCCCTGAGAAGCCAGGCTGGCTCAGAGGATGGTGCAGTTTGGTAGTCATGGGCAATGCGAACCGCCACCACCAAGAAGAACAGACCCAACCTTCAGGGAGCCTTCATGTGTCAGCTGTAATGTCCATGCCCACTTCACAGATGGGAGCACTCAGTTTCAGGGAGATTAACACCGTGCCCAGGTCACAGAGCCGATGATGGAGCTGGGATTCTAGCTAGCATGTGCCAGACCTCCAGCCTCATGTTCACCGGGCCACACCACGGGCAGGACATTGGCTCTCAGCTGAAAAGTTACCCTGGGGCACAGCCTCTCGTGTAACTCAGCTGTGCTTGGCAGGGTGTACACCCTACTTTTCTTACAAAATCAGGAAGGCTCTGAATCTCCTATGGTCTGAGGTTCTGAATTCCCCTCATCAGCCACATGATGTGAAGAATATAGGTTATTTCTTTCTTACTCACAAACCCACAGGCAAATTTAAACCTGGGAGGGACCTACAAGGTGACTTCCTCTGAAACCCTGTCTAATTTCCCAATTTCTTTATCAGCCCCTCACATGAAGAGCCTGCCACAGGTGAAATCCCACATGTGGCATGACAGCGATTCCATACGAGGTGAACCCCACTTACTGGTGCATCTTCCATGCACCCAACACTGCCCGCGTTACCCTCTCAGAAGGAACAGCAGTTGCAGGTCCTTTGTCTCCAAAGCACGCAGGTGCACGCCGAGGATGCCCATGGACCCATCCAGGGCCAACAGCCTCAGTTTCTCCTGGGAGCTAATTAGCCTCACGGGATCTGAATCTGCCTTTTAACAAGATCCCAGGGTAATTAATGCATGCACACAAGTGTGTGGTCATTCGTTCGCCAAAAGGTGCAAGGTATAGGGTAGATGGGAGGCGCTGTTTCAGAATGTAAGAGGCAGGATGGTGTGAGGCCCCCAGGGGAAGCCACTGTCAGGCAAGGGAAGATGTGAGAAATATAGACTAGATGCAGAAGCTTGAGGCTCATGACGGTCACGGCCACTCTTCAGATTACCTCTGAATCTGAGAACAGGTGAGGGGCAGGCTGCACATGAGCCCTCGGCTCTGCTCTCTGCTGATCCACAGTAATGGCATTTTGACTTTGCACAGGGAGTTCCAGCTAGAGACTGCATTCCCAGTCTCTCTTGCTGCATGGGGTGGTCTTGGGCCCCAGTTCCTCTATATCCCTTGCTCTAACAGAAGTTGTTTGCCAAGCAACTAGGCTCCTTCTCCACTTTGCTGTCACAGGGGAAAGGGCCTGGGGTCCTGCATGGCTGTGTGGAGCCGAACGTCCTTGCTAGCCCTTACACTCTATTGTGTACAGTAGACAAGACACAGTCTTCTGACAAGACCCCAGTGTGTGATGCTCCCCTCCCAATGTCCATGTGTTCTCATTGTTCAACACCCACCTATAAGTGAGAACATGGGGTGTTTGATTTTCTGTTCTTGTGTCAGTTTGCTGAGAATGATGGTTCCATACCACAAGAGGAACCTCGGGAGAGTTGGAGCAGGAGAAAGTACGTAAAAACCATAAGCCTCTGTATTTTGGAGGTTTTTTTAAATTTTTTAATTTTCACAAAGCTTCAAATATAGAAACATTATAGAAATAGTAAAACAAAGTATTCCCACATACGCTTCTCCAAATTCCCCCATTTTACTCTGTTTCAGCCTTCTCTCTCTCCTTCAAGCATAAATATTATTTCCTGAACCATTTGAGAGTAAGATACAGACATGATGCCTCTTTACCACTAGATTCTTCAATGTGTATTTCTTAAAAACAAGAATATTATCCTAAATCTGCAAACCGTAGTAAAATAATGAAGTTCAGGAAATTAATATTGATGTAATTAATCTGCAGACCATACTGAGATTTTATCAGTTGTTTCAATGATGTTCTCTGCAGCAAAAGAAAGCCCATTCAGTAGTCATGTCCCTGTCATCTCCCTGAATCGAAACCGTTCCTGAATCTTGCTTTATGACAGTAACATTTCATGGCATTGACATGATTTTAAGAGTTCAGGCCTGTTAATGTCACAGACTCTTCTGCCTCCACCCCCTACCCTGCTGGGGCTTGGCTGCTGTTTCCTCCTGATTCGATTCAGGTGGATGAACCATTAACTGGGCCATCACAGTGGCGATGCTGTGTCCTTCGGGGCGTGTTGTATCAGGATCACATGCTTTGACTTGTCCTCTGATTCTTGATTGTCATGGGGTGTCCTCTGGCTACTGGTTGCCATGGGGTGATGACCATTTGACCGCAGTTGTGTCTGTCAGATTTCTGCAGCCTAAAGTCGCTATTCTGCCCTTTGGAGTCAGTGAGTGTTTGCAGGAAGATGTCAGAGGTCATCGGAGCAGGGTGGCTGCGGTCACCAGTGTACATGCTCTGTTAGCACTGGAGCAAGCTCAGCAGCAAACCTGGGCTCTTTCGCTTATCAAGAGTTGTGGAGTATACACGTTCACAGCGCTCCCTGATGTTTTGAATAGACGGGAAATTTTTATTAGTTCACCCCAAATCCACATTAAACTGTAATATTAATTTTTAAAAAAAAACAGCCCAGAAGAGAGTCTGGATGGTGCATTTCCATTTTACCGAAGCGTCTACAGCAAGCAATAGTTTGTGACTGGACGGACAGCGGGCTGCTCTGTTCACTCTCGGTTCACACCAGACCAGACAGCTCCGCCTGGCGCCCCCCTTGTCTTCTCAGGCTGGATCCCACCGCTGTTGCTTTTCCCCAGGATAACTGATTCAAGCAGCCATCCTACCTGGAGAGGCTCACCCTCCTCATGGAGGCGTGTGTGTCCCGGCCCCTGCCTTGCTTTAGGATGCAACAGGAGCTAAGTTCAATGAGGAAGAGGATGACAGCCCTGTCGGAGGAGTTGCCCTGTACCTGGGTTTCAGCCAGGGCAGCTCCCCCATGCTCTCTGAGCTCCATCCACCTCCACTGTTCCCCAGCTTGCCTGTGCTCCTGCTGGCCACTGGCTTTGAGCATCTCCCTGCCCCACCCTTCAGGACCTACCCGGAGACCACCAGGAGGCCACCTAGGGCCAATATGCCCTAAGGGGAGAGTCTTGGATCACGGGTGGTGCTTCCTGCCCTTTTCTGCTCCTGGATAGCAGTGGTCACAGGCTTCATCACAAGGCTGTCCTGCCAGGCCTTTGAGTCACTCACAGAGTCCCAGATCGTCCCATACACTGTCCCCAGGAGAAGGGGGCTGGTGAGCAAGGACAGTGTCTGCCTCACTCCAGCTGGGAATGAATCCCTTCTGTACAAAGAGACAAGGATCCGCACTTCAAGGATCTGGGACCACTAGCAAATGACAGGCCAGATCCAGGAAAGGGAAGGAGTAAAGATGGAAAGAGGGGGATTCGGCAAGGAGCAGGACCTGCTGGGCCACGGCGGGGGTGGACCTGCCACACCAGCACGGTGTCAGGCTCTCTAAATAAGAGAGTGGGTAAGCAGAATGAATTCTAGCAGGGAAGGAGATAGAATATTTTCTCCAACATATATCATAAATATGCAGTGTGATGAGTCTTCCTCACTCTGTTTATGTCAGAAAATGTATATGGACATTTCCCTCTATAACCAATATGTAGCAACGTGCAGAGACCCCCTGCCCTCCCCGGTGGGTACTGTTCACTCCAGCACCTGGTGGGGGGGGGACCAGCGCTGGTAAAAGTGGTCCCAGTGTTGTCAGGACACGGCACGCTTACACAGACATGACCAAAGGTGCCAATTCCCAAACTATTAATATATGTAGACCATCCCAGATGAAGCCTCTTCTCAAAATTCCACAGAAATAGTCACATCATTTAGGGATTCCTTGAAATGTAGACTGAATTTTTTACCCAGCACTTTGTACTGAGCTCTTTAGTGACAAGACGCCTGGACTTCATCATTTCACCCAGAAACTCTGGCAGGGGAGAAGTGGTCACTCTGACCGCAGGTTCTGGACAGGAGGTAAGACCGAAGGCCCCAAGCAGAGGCCCCCAGCCTCTCCTCCCTCCAAGCCACCCTGGAAGGAAACAGTGATGCTCCACCTGCCACCAATCTCTATCCCCCTGGGGCACAGGACCAGTCCCGTGACCTATTCCGCTGCTGGTGATGGTTGTGTGCTGCTGTTGCAACGCAGAGCATGTCAGCCTGGTGGGAGACCTGGGCCTCTCCGGCCATCACAGCACAGCGTGTCCAGTGTTGGGAGCTGGCCA